GCCCGGGTCCGGTAGGGGGGCGACACTGAGGGTTGGGATCCGTTGCCAAAAATGGAAAAAAAAAAAAAAAAAAAAAAAAAAAAAAATTGCCAAGTCTCCTTCTCATCCTAGAGCCAAGCAAAGTATCCTTAACCTAACTAATTCATCTTCTGAGGTTGAATTCGATTCATCTCCATAAAGAGGCCTTCCCTGACTCCCTAATCAAAATTGGACTCTCCAAATTCATGTCTCACAAAGCTTAGTACCTGATTCTCCTACTGAACTGTAAACTCCATGAGGACAAATATTTTATCCTTTGCTCATCACTGAAGAAACAGTGCCTTAGGCTAGTGTATGGTATTTAGTAGAAAGTGTTCAAATACCTGTTGAACATTAAATTAATTTTGAATAATTACATATCACCCTAACAGAAAATAAATGCATGCACAAAAGAAATCAAATGAAATCCAGAATATCTAGTAATATTAGCCCTTTCCCAGCCAAGTAAGCATTGCTGTAGTAGCAAAGTCTAGAACATGGAACTTGTGTTAAATCTCAGTTCTTACTCAGGTGGCAAGGTAACAGCAAAAAATGAAATAGTGTTTTCATAAATTGTGGGCTTGTTTCTTTGTTTCATTAATCCAGTATTAACAAAAGAGATTATAATTTCAAGAAACCAAGTAAAAGAATTGCCAAATTAGTACTTCTGACATATTCCAAAGACACAAACAGCAAATTTTCTTTTAGACAAAATGTTTTCATCTTTCCTGACAGCATCATAAATAAGAAACTCAAATTTTAACCAGAAAACTAATTTTAATCAGAAAACTATTCTGAACTAACGTAAAAAAGAAAGAATGAGAAGCATCAATGATAGGTCACAAGCACTGTCCATTCCTAGTTAACTTTCATACTACAAGGCCTAAAACTTGCTCAAAATGGTAAATTTTGAAATAGTATATTTTCTCCTAAAGGCTACAGATATTAGAATGTATAAGCAGCTCAAAAATCAATCAGCTGATATTTACTAATTCTCAACCATGTGCAAATCACTGAGCCAGCAAGAGAGGGGGGCTGATGTGGGAGGAGCAATTATGAACAGGTGGAAGAAAACATCTCCAAGTAGTTGTTTCTTTTACATGGAGAAGCAAAATCAGTTGTTAAAAGGTAACACCAACTGACTGTGAGGGCAATAAGAGAATGACCTCTTCTTCCTTATGATACCTGCACATTAATTCATTTCAGTTACAAAATAGAGGTAGGAAAATTAAAACTAATTTTCTCATTCCCTCCCACTCCCTAGAGCTACTTCAAGGAAGACTTAGATTTGAAAACTATAAAAATTGTTTTATAGATAAAAGGAAACATTATGGAAACTTTTTTTCATATACATATACTTAACATGCAAAGCTGCACTTGGGATTTGAAAGATGACATTAAAACATTATATAATCAAAAATTAAAATTTTAATGAAATTAAAATTGCCACTGATTAAAATAGTATAAAATAGACTTAAGTTTTATAAAACTTCACAATTAACTAATAATGTTATAAACAGCAAGTCTTATTTTCACACCATTAAAAATTCTTAAACATTAAAAATATGTGTAAAAATTATGTGTTATCTTTCATTATCTTCCGTATGCATGAAATATTTCATAACTGAAAAGCCAACTTATTTTCAACACAAGCAAAACACTAGGGCCGGCCCAGTGGCGCACTGCTATAGTGCGCCGCTTGGGAGCGCGGTGGCGCTCCCGCCGAGGGTTCGGATCCCACATACAGACCGGTTCCCACTCACTGGCTGAGCGAGGTGCGGGCGAAGCGCCGAGGGTTGCGGTCCCGTTGCCGGTCCTGGTCCGGTACGGGCGCAACACTGAGGGTTGCGGTCCGTTGCCGGACACGAAAAAAGACAAAAAGGAAAAAAAAAAAAAAAGCAAAACACTAAAATTGGGAGATGCCAAAAAGTATTTTTAAAAAGCCTAGTAATGTTGTAACACCAAGCTGAAGGGTTCAGATCCCACCAGCCAGCCGCCCAAAAAAAGGGGGAGTAGTGGCTGGCTGATTAGCTCAGCTGTTTGGAACACAGTGTTAAACAAAAGCCTAGTATAGCATATGCAGAAGAGTAATAGGTTGAGTAACAACCTACAGAACTTTAACAAGTTTTTTTTTTTTTTTTTTTTTCCTTTTTGTCTTTTTTCGTGACCGGCAACAGATCGCAACCCTCAGTGTCGCGCCCGTACCGGACCGGGACCGGCCACGGGATCGCAACTCTCGGCATTGCTCCCACCCCTCGCTCAGCCAGTGAGCGGCCGGTCTGTATATGGGATCCGAACCCTCGGCGGGAGCGCCACCACACTTCCCAAGCGGCACACTATAGCAGTGCGCCACCGAGCCGGCCCGGAACTTTAACAAGTTAATGCCATGAAAATTTAGTATTGGGTTAACATCCAGATTTTTACACTAGGACACATCAAAAATGAACTAGTGGGCCGGCCCGGTGGCGCACTCGGTAGAGTGCGGCGCTTGGGAGTGCGGTGGCGCTCCCGCCAAGGGTTCGGATCCCATATAGAGAGCGATCCGCTCACTGGTTGAGCGCGGTGTGGGCGCAACACCGAGGGTTGCGATCCTGTTACCGGTCACGAAAAAAGACAAAAAAAAAAAAAAAAAAAAAAAAAAAAAAAAAAAAAATGAACTAGTTTTTCTAAGAAAAGGCTCCAGAAAATTGTGGCTGCCTTATATGTAACAGGCAGACAACAGAAAGAAAAAAAATATCTAAGAAATAAAGCTTGTCTTTTGTTTTCCTTCTAAAAGGAGGTGGAAGAAAAGATTCTATACCCAAAGTCTTGCTTTCAAAGTTTTTATTTCAAGATGTGCATCTCCTGTTCAAGTAAAAAATCGTGAAGTTAAATTCTTCCTCTTATTATTCACAATCAAATTATAATACTTCTCCTGATCTGTTAAAAAGGAAGTAAAATTCAGAATTGTCAGGATGGTGAACACTAGACAGAAAACAAAAAGTGTAATGAAGATTAGGTAACATTAATATACATTTTTGCTGAAATTACAGAGGGCAGTTTTGATATCTTCTACGTGTAAGAATACGGTTCAGTTCTTTTGGAAAAGAGATCTTCAGAAAGTGAGCATTCAGAATATGAGATTTTCAGGAGCAATAGTAGACAATATACAAGTTAAAAATCTTGGGTAGCTTTTAAATAACTAGACTGCAATATATATATGACTATTAAAAATTGCAGCAACGGGCCGGCCCGGTGGCGCACTGGAAAGTGCGCCACTTGGGAGCGCGGTGGCGCTCCCACCAAGGGTTCGGATCCCATGTGGAGACCGGTTCCCGCTCACTGGCTGAGCGTGGTGCGGGCGCAACACTGAGGGTTGCGATCCCGTTGCCAGTCCCGATACGGGCGCGACACCGAGGGTTGCAATCCCGTTACCGGTCAGTAAAAAAGACAAAAAAAAAAAAAAAGGAAAAAAAAATTGCAGCAACTGTTTTTACAGTTTTCTAATCTTGGCTTAAACGTCGTATCACTGACTTTAGCTTAGTGTAAGATTTTTTATATAATTCATTAACCCCACACTGAGCATTACATCTAGCAAAATTACATGTGAATACATAAAAAGACAACAAACTTTTTTGCCCTCAAGAAACTGCACTCAGTCCAGTGGATGTAAAGGAAATGTAATTCAAGGTGAGATAGAAGGGAGGCTCTCAAAATTTATACACTTAGCCCATACAAGCAATGAAACAGCAAATTGTCATATATATATATACAGCATTACACTTGTGCCCATTTCGATGTCTTAAATCTTTACAACTTAGTTATGTTTGCCGAATAACTTGAAAGTAAAATAAATTGCTCTTGAACATAATTCAAAAGGCTTACCAAAGGTAATATTTACAAATAAGCAAAAAATGAGAGTTTTTAACTTTTATTTTCAAATTATATTCAATTAAAGAAGCCTTCCCTAATTCCCTGACTAAGCAAGATTTCCCAACACTCCCTTCTAAGCATTTATCACATTTGTAATTTCCACGTTAAATAATTTACAGGAATAAGTGTTTACCTCTCCCTAGACTGTAAGCTACAACAGAGCAGGAGAGGGCTGTTTGAGTTTCGCTCAGGGCCCCTGGGCATACCGAAGTAATTATTTGTTGAATGAAAGGGAAAAAAAGGTCCAATTGTGAACACGTTTGTCTCTACTCTTTTTAATGAAAGTAACACGATTTCTGACTTTAAAACTTATTTATTCAAAGTAACTTTTAAAAAAAAATAAACCTGGCTTGGCCTTTGACCAAAAGTCTCAAGCAGTTTACTGAACCAGTGAGCTTTGGAAAGCAGGTAGTAAGTATGAGGAGAGCACACAGTAAGTGCTCAATGCATCCTTGCTAAATGAAACGACTACTACCATGAAGTGAGCCAAACGGGACCAATCTAGAGAGTGCCGACGCACGCGGAGCTGGCCACCACCATGCCCACACTTGTGCTTCCCACTTGGTTAGAGTACTCTGTTTCCCTCCCTCCTCTGCTTCCTTGGCCATTTCAACATCCCAAAGCATTTCTATGAAAACGGCTTGGGGAAGGAAATGAGAGTCAACACTCAAATCAGCGGACACGAAACTGGTGTCTTCTGAGTTAAAGACGTCCCCCATTCCAACGTCCTTTTCTTTTTCTCTCTCATCCTACAAGTGTCAACATCAAGCCTGAACTGGGGTCTTGAAGGCGCAGAATGTCACCATATCCCGGTTAAAAAAATATCGGAGTTTATCAAGCTTGTTACACACCGACAGTTGACCACGTCCCACCAGAGTCCGGAACTAGGGACTCCCGGGTTACCCAACTTGTATAGTAGCAAGGCTGCCCGGGAGCAGCGGAGGGGCTGGCTACCTTGGACGACGAGGCAGCGGCAAGCCCCCGCACAGGCGGGGTCCGAGTCCCCAGCCAAGGCCACCACAGCCGGTCCATCAACGCGGGCTAGAGAATCCGACATGACCGGGGAGCGCTCCTCCGCCCGCAGGTGCTCAGGCCTCGCCGAGACCGGGAAGAGGCGGCGCCGCCCGCTCTTCCCGACCCCGAGGTGGCCCGACAGGCCTAACCCACGTCCCCGCCCTGCTCGCCCGCC